ATAGGTGGTGAGGCTCTAAGGGAACCTGTTCTTTTTACTTGATGTATTTTAATGTGTAGATTTTTTGTTTTAACAGATATGTTACATGTATAACTGAAAAAAAGCATATTATCATAAAGGGAAATATTCCTGTAACCATCAAAATCATTTGCACTATCTAGAAAAAGACATTTTTGAGATAACCAGTAAAAATTGAGCGTAGTCTGGATGGTATTACTGAATTATTACTTGTGTTTAGTGTGAAAAGGCTATTGTGGTTATGCTTAAAAATAAGTTCTTATTTCTAAAATATTCACTGATGAAAAAAGGAGACATTAAAGGAAAGAAGTCAGTTAAAGAAAAGAAGAAACCACCTTATTTTTAAATCTTAGGAACATTTGAACGGTGTAACTAACGATGTTTTCCCTTTCAAGTTGATAGAAGTAAATCTGTGGTTGGTCCCTAAAGTGTAATATTGATCTTTATAAAATGAATTTTTTTTTTACTTAATCTTGGCCCCATTTTAGTATTCCTATTCATCTGCCCCCATTTTATTTATTTTACAGCTTTTTTTTATGATTTATGTGTTTTGGGGTAGTCTTAAATCCTTTCAGAAACAATGCAGGGTGAAGATTGATGCTTAATAATTAATCAGTGGACTAAAACAGTTAATACTTATTGAGCTCTGTGAGCACACAGAAAAAGAATCTTTACAGCTCCTTTCTGTGAAAGGAATTACCACCATTCAGATCAAGAACAAGTTTTAGAGAGGAATAGGAGCGTGGGCTCAGATTGTGTATGTGTTTCTATACAATATAAGTAAGAAATTTACATATTTCAATGTAATATATTAAACAATATGTTTTTATTTTATGAATAACATTACAGAAAATAATTGCCTTAATTACATGTGATAAAGATATAAACAACTGACAGTAGCTTTTTGTATTTCAGAATTTGAATGAATATGTTGAAGCATTAATTACCTTAAAACAAAAAATTATCAACACCGAGTAAGTATATTTGCATATGTTTGGCAGAACTTTGTGAACCTGACAACTGGCTGAAGCAGAAGCAGGTGGTGGTTTTACGCCCCACGGGCCGGAGAGAGGTTTCTCCTGTGGAGGCCTAGATGGTGCTGATTGTAATAAAACTGCTTGTGAGCCTCTTCAGCAAGGGGAACTTTGGATTTGTGTTCACAGGCCCTTAGAACAAGGCTCATGAGTTAGTAGGAAGTAATTTTTGCTAAACTGGAATTTTTTTTAAAGCCATTTTCTATCTTCAAAACTTTCTTAGGTTTAGGGCCGGACCTCCCATTTCCTCCCAATATTTCATGGCCATGGTGGGAGATTTAATTTTTTGAAAAAAATGTGTAATAGTCTCATGTATTTATAGGCCAAGATATTACTTAGATCAAAGGGATTTTAAATTAAAAGCTTATATATCAGTGTAATGCTTTTGAGGAATTTAAAGTGATATACGTATATTAATTTAGCATAAATTTGTTCAGGAAATCTAGGAAGAGAGAGTGCCTTGCATGTTTTGAAACATAATTTTAACATAGCCTATTTTCTAGATAAAAAAGTAACCTAATTCTTCTTTTCTTTGTTGCAGTAATTTGTTAACAGAATATCAGAAGAAATGTGATGATATCCTTTTACTGGCTTTTTCTGTTGAATTT